GCTTGAAAAATCTACAATATGGAAGAGGATTGTATAAACAACAACAATAAGCAATTTATACAAAAAAAATAGAACATCCCGAACAAAATTTGCATCCTTAATTGTAACATGCAATAAAAGAACAAAACATAATATAAATTTTAATAATTTTATCAATTGTTAATTTGAGATATCTTACTTATACTCTTCAGCTTTGTCGATATGCACAGAACTACTTAAGATTATTTCAATATCTTCTGGTTCTGTCAAGAAGACTAATGCTTTCGAACCTAAATATGCAGATACTACATGTCCACACATGTTAAAATAATCAAGAGCTTTTTGCAATATATTTTCGGGAACCTCTCCGAGAGCTAGTAATGTATGACCTAAAATAGGTACGGATGGTGGATCTAAAAAAAAAAAAAAATGAAAGTTATTGTAGAACAATATAATAAGCAATATAATGCGAAAATCAGTGCTGATGAAGATTACAAACGAGAATATATATATTTGAATTAAAAGTTAAATCTTTTCTTTTTATTATTTATATGTACATACTTGGTATTTTCTTTATCATTCGAATTGTTCGAGAGGTTTCGACGTAATAATAAGCTGCTATTAACGCTGTGACCAGCGTAGCCAGCAGAGAAAAAGTTGCGATCGAAAGATAAGATGTTGACGTTACTGGATCCGCGTCCATTGCGACGTCTATTATCTTGTAACAACGATGTAACCACTTATTCCTCACTTTTTTTCGTAAAACTCACTAATTAATTATAATTTTGGCATTAAAAGATACAAGAAATCAAAGTTAGTGTAACAGTACTTTAACAGAAATATTTTATTTGCTATTGGAAATTGCAGAAACGTTAACTCGTTCACCGGTAGACGGTGAATGCGTTCTGATCTGCTCGCAATATTGATCGATATTTTATAAGCTAGTAGTCCGGAAGAATCTACGTATTTGGTCTCACTTTCAATTATACTGTGACCTCGTCAATATCACATTGTTAGTTCATTTACATCACGCAAATAATCATTGACCGGATGAGAAAGTTGCGTCACGCATTCAATATTGAATTTATATTAATGTTCATTAACGTGGAAATATTGCCCTAATCATGACATAGCGGTAAATGCAACCTTTTTAATATAGGTAACAGGAAATCGCTTGTCGATTGTAAAGCAAGTGCATCGATAAAATCAGAAATATAGCAACATTTTATATTCTTATGACGTACGAGAAAGTAACGGAAATCATTGGTGCACTGTAATTAATGTTAATTGATCTTGCTTTTAATTTGGAATTAACGCAAATTACTCTCTTGTATAATGAGAAAGTATATTTTAACGACTTATTATTATAACAAAAAGGAAATTAACATGAAATACAATAAACGACCGTGCAATTAAAGAGGGATTATTTACAATGTACATGAATATACATTTTTTTAATGCAAGTTTTAAACTATTTGGAATAAAATGGTGCAAAAAATAAAGAACTAAACAATTAATACAATCATGCGTTAAAAAAATAAGAGTGAAAGAGATAATATATATTATATTCAATTTGCATTTTTCGCTCTTCTTTTTATATTAAAAATCTTTAATATAAAATTATGAATCTTTCAATTTGATTAACTTTATAAAACTATATAAAATAATTATTATGGATGGTTGATGTTAAATTAAAAGTTACGATATGCATAATTAGCAAAATGTATTTTAAATATTTTGTAAAAAGATATATCAAGTACAAAATCGTAGAATACCTATTTTAAGCTTAATTAAGGCACTGATATTTACAAGAACATCAAAAAAGCTCTAGTGAAGACAAAAATATCTACGTCCATGTATAATTTACATTAAGTTCTTATCCTAAAACGACACTTTTGACATTTTCATAATACTTTAATTCAACTCGAGATAAGTATTGTAACGCAATTATAAGTAATATAAAATTTACAACAATATATATAATATTTATTATAATCAATATCGTTCTTGGAAAAATATGTACAAACTCGTATTATATTTATTACGAAGCGAATATTATAAAATAATCGCATAAATTAATATAAATTTAACAATTTCATCGTTTCTGTTAAATTATATTACTTTTTGTAAATAATATTAGATAATATTCTGATGTACTTGGAACAGGGGAAGGATGATATTTCTTGATGAATAATGATAATCACGACGCGGAAATTAAAGTTCTCATCGCATTGTTTTATTTCGCATAATTAAGGCACGTAATCATGTACATTTTTTTAGCACGTTGTTAGATATTCTCTTAAAAAATCCATTAAAAAATATTCGATTGCTGTAACGTCATATACAATATAATGACGAATGACTATTTTCGTTCTTGGGATCGTAATATCGCAAAAACAGGTAGCACAACGTTGTGCTTAGAGAAATATAATAGTAACTCTTATACGTTAGTATCTTAAATATTTCGTTAAAAATTTCGAGTATAAAAAAGATATAAATATTAATATAACTTACTGCCTACGATTAGTTAAGGCACTTTTATTTACAAATTTTTTGATTGTGTCTCGCAGCATTAAAGTCGATTCACAGATCGTTTTTATATGGGGTGTATCAAATACTTAATAAAGCCAAAAACAAGGAAATGATAAAAGACATTATGTAGAGTAAAGAATGCATATAAATTTTTTCTACATCGAATATGAATTGATCTTTACACAACAATTGTATAAATATATATATAATATATATAAACATATAAATTATATATATAATATTAGTATATTTACATATTTATATATTTTATATATTTTTTAATATTTATGCAAATAATTAGAATTCTCAATGAATAGTATATATTTTCACGTATTATACTCAATAAAGATAAAATTTATATGCAGCACATGTAATTACATAATGGATAATAATTACAATATAATTACGTAATTCTTTACATAATCTCCTCGTTGGTCAGCCCATTTCTACAGATATACCCTATATAATGATATTCTTACTTATCTTAAATATATATAACATATTAAATTGTGCAATAATAAACACACGGCGTAATAAATATTTTATAAACATTGTCTTTATAAATAAGAATGTCATAATTTTATCTTTTAAATCTTAAACATGTGCGTACTGTAAAAGTTTAATAAAATAGCGTCATGAATGATTAATGATATTAAATTACAACAAGAATCATTGTTTCTATTCAGTGACACGCATGTCATTTATCTTAAATTCACAGTTTCGCAGCAAAGTTTTGTATAAATATAATCATGTTCGTAATATAACACTAAATTAATTGTACTTGTTGTGACACAAATAGCCGAGAAAATAAGTATTTTCTTTCTGGAAGCGCAAAATGTCATTGCAAAAGAGAATTAAAATATTTTCCTCTATTGTTCTTAAAAGAAGACACTTGATCAGTACAATCGAAAGTATACGATACGACGCAAATTTAAAATAGAAATTAATACAATTAATACATATACAAATAGAATACACTGCAATGCAAATAAGTAATCTTTTATGAATACAAAATGAAACGTGATGTAATATCAAGATTTAATTTGACTTTAAATTTATTTCTATGCATTGAATAAAAAAGTGCATTCACGTTAGCCTCGCTGTCGGTAATCCAAAAGACAAAATATAATAGTAAGCAGATCTGTTTAAGTATACTCGTAAGTACGATTTTCTAATTTTTGCTATTGATCACAATACACGTGCTCGTGCCAACGATATCGTGTCGTATATAGTCGAAATAATCTTCATCCAAATCTAGTGAGATCATACGAAATTTGTTTGAAGCGTATTACGTAGTGGACTTCGAATTTTGTTGCAAATATTGATCTTCCCTAATTGGAATCTGTAACTGAAAAAAAATCACAAAAGAATATTAACATTCTGCGTGTGATGATATTAAATGCGTATATATAAATATAACTAACTTTTTTATATGCAGAGTGATTCATGTTTTAATTATTTTCTAAGAATTGATTTTCACTGCTTGTAACATTTCAAGTAAATTATTCTGTTTTTTTACGATAGAAAAATACAGAGTATATAGGCTTATGTCATTCTTCTTTCAGTGAATTTCTGCAAGTACGAAAATTGTCTTCCTTGCGGCAACCGTTACTTTCCGAAATATTTGTGAACCCCTGTCGAAGATTTATATCGAAAGAAAACAGTTTCCATCACAATTTCGTGATCCTGGGAGTAAGGGAAGGAAAAAAGATCCCGTCTATCTTCGAGAGATCCTTTGTCCCGTCTCGCTATTGTGTTCCGTCACTGGATCGCGCGGATTCTCGTTTAGCTGTATTGGGGAAGAATTAAATTCGGAAACGAACGGACGAATCGTCGCGGACATCCCGTAGATTCCGGATATATCGTGGGAAAAAAAGCATGTACAAATAATGTGGCAAATCCTCGTTTTTCTTTGCAAGAAAGCAACGGG